AGATCGAACCTAATGTTTTGGTTGCTTCATGTATGTTTAGGAGCAAACACCCAGCCCATGCCACTCCGCGTATCGGGTCTCAACTTCATTGCTAAAATGTGGAGTTGTGTGAAAAGAAATATTCATGAAGGCCTTTTATCAAATTCAGACTGAAGACACTCGCAATTGACCCACTAAGCCCATACTCAAGACTTTATTACAAATAATTTCAGTGAGACGCCAGGGATGGGACATTTCCGAAAGGGGGAATGAACGAGCCAATGCACATTCAACTACGGAAAGCAAACATTTCCATTGTTGGGCTGAAATCGTTGACAGTGCCTTACTAACGCATTGTCTTTAGATGCTGAAATGCAGTTAGAGCATATGAAGTGATAGTCCAGAGCAATGCGATTGATTAGAGCTACTCAGAAATGGTAATCGGCAACTAACAATCGTCGGGCGCACCGGGATCGCACTAGTAATCCTGAAAAGCTGGCTTACAAATTAAGCGAACAGCTTTCAAGGCCCGTGAAAGAAACATCCAAACGCTTCACAACGCTAGATTCTCCTTTTGCATATTTGGTGCATAACCCAGATGAGATATGCGTTAGATTGCACCGTTTTTTCGATCAAGCTGCTGGTAGATACAAAATTATAATTCGGTAGCCTTGAGGCCAATAAATGCAAGGAACAACTGGTCTTGGAAGTGCCTCATCAAAACATTTTCGCTTTAGCTCAGTGATGACAAGTTAATTGTGCCGCGCATGATGACTCTTAGAGAAATCCATTTGATTATTTGGTTTCAAGTTCTCCCAAGGCGTACATTTGCGAAGGAAGAAATCAGTAAATTTGCTTCTCCTTATGCAGTTATAAGTTGATTTTATATATATATATATACATGTGAAGCACATCAGAAATTGTCTCCAGACCTCTCTAGTTGGATGTCTGATCAGATGCGTGTACCAGATAGCTTCTTTGTTCATCCTATAGGATGGATACAAACGTCGTTCAATTTACCATCGACGGCTGGCGTGCGCTTATGTTCACAGTTGGTTCCGCCGACCGTTACTTCACTGGACAACTGGTGGAATTTACATGCCAGTGAGACTGTTACGGAGCACATGTTTTGTTATTGCAAAACGTGGCAAGGTTTGTAGTATAAATGAGTAAAGACGATGAATCATCCTAAAAGATCAGTTGGATAGATTTTACAAGTTTCATGTTTGGCGAATTCGAATTGGTCAGCAAAACATCACCGTTGATTGGTCGTTGATTTTCCAAAAATGGCACATGAATTAAGAGCTGATTTTTTCCAGACAAAGCTTGGAGGTTGCCCTCACGCAAACAAATTTTCAGCTAGGGATGTTTCGGTTTCCCGAAGATATGTTTAACAGATTGCAACAGGGTGAAATGCTAAAAGCCGATTTCAGTATACGACAATGGGGAAGACCTGAGATACGCGTGGTGTATTCTGGAAAGATTTCGCACAAAATGAACTGCCAATAGTGGATGCATAACCTGGAGACATTTGAATGGGTCAAACCTATAAGAAAAGAATATGGGCCACTCATTGGTCGCCATAATTCTCCCAGGATGAAGGAGCGTTATGATGCTATTTGTCTAGATATTCAAGTTAACCGACACACGAAACTAGCTGTCCTTTCCAACAGTTCTTATATTACTCGGTTGTGTCAGTTGAACTTGACGTGTTTCAACTTGTCAATGAGTTGAATAGGAACAATTTTTAACACGTAACACAGAAAGACCTCGTAAAAATAATGTGCAAACTGCAAATAGTGATCGGTTATCTAGAGCGACTTTTTGTGCGACTCCGGTTTTGTGTATTTGCGTTTGACCTATACACCTGTTCACCACACAGTTTTTTCGAGTACTTTTTGTTTCGTGAAGACAAACTATTTATGACAAACATTAATCTTCCAAATAAGTGGGCCGGTGTGTATACAACCAGTGCGAAAGCACCCGCTTCTACCCTCACAAACTCAGTTTTCGCCAAAGTGCGCTGTCTATTACAGGAGACATCCACAGGTATCGGACGTCCGATTACCGGCGCGCGGATGATGCAGCATCTGTCGGAATTGCGCACACAGAGTACAGGCGTCAATATTTGCGGGCGTGGGTCCATGAAAGAAATGTTGCAATTGTGATCACGTCACTGCATAATCCCGTGTTGTTGAAGGTATGGAAACCTGAAAATTGTCGACTATTCGTGGATCACCTGATATCAGCGACTTCCTTGTTTGCACTTCAACATTATATTTGTACTATTATTGCTCGGTTCCGAAACCATGCCCTTCGTTGATAGCCCGTTTTCCGTTAGTCTCGTTAACGGGAAACTACATGAGTGGTATGATGGATGCATGGAGAACAATAACCGCTATAAAATGAACAAAAAATTGCATGTGAATGTGATTACGAAACAAGGTGTTCGCAAAAACCATGCATAAAAAAACATCAATGAAAAGATAGTATGACAGAAAACAAGTGCACTTTGCTTAGGCAGTGATGCTAAACCAAGTACTAAACTCCAAAGGACATGGAATGTGGGATAACCAACTAACAGTTTGTACCACATTTTGGCAACCATCAATGAAACATAGTGTATTCAACCAATGATACGGATTCGCGAAGTAATACTTTGTTGTGAGTATCCAGAAATAAATACGAGTAGGCGCAGAGGCGGCATTTATTCATCGTCAGTGCTGAGTTCCCGATGTCCTTAGGTAGAAGCCAAATTTGGCCGGCTGGGGTGAACTACAGTCTCGTTCTGAGGCCTGAGTACGACCTAGATTGCCATACGTGCTGCAAAGAAGAAAACGAATTGATACATTTTGCAACGCACTGATTCCTTCGGACAATTTCAACGTATTTACTTGTATAATCACTTTCAGGCTTTACCATTAAGAAACTCGTGAAGTACTACGAAAGTAAGCCACAAACTTGTGACCATCCTAACATCACGCTTTGGTTTGAAAATGTGTTATTTTAAAACATGGGAATAACTGGAGCTTTGCAGCAGATGAACCATGCAGACACAATTGCTTTCGCTGTACCATGCCAGTCCGATTGGGGTCAAAAACGTTGCCGGGTAATCCTACGGACAGATCGTTAATCAACCTTTTAGCAGCGACACAGAATTCTACCAGTAGCAGAAAATAGTGCTACTCCAGTGAGTATGAAGTGCCTTCAACCTCACCGCACCGATGATCAGGCCAAGAGGTGGTGTACTTCAACATGCACCATCCGTTTGTGCCTACCACTGCACTGCCGCAACCAAATCACCGTTTATCGATTACACGAGTTCGTCGGCGGCACCCGGTACCACAAGCATTTTTGAGAAATTAGCGCAGGGAGGTGCTGTCACAACTTCCGTCTAAACAGGTCATACATATCAACCATATAATGATGCAGCCATTCATATGCCCTGAAATCTGCGGCAACCAAGGTCCAGTGGCATGTATATCAGGCGTCCAAGTGAGTCGAGTCTGCAAACAATCCTCTGAACCCCAACATCCGTGCATTGATCACCTCGAACACTTCCGTCAGAGGAAGTACATCTACCGAGGTGGGCAAACTTCCAAGGAGCATTTCTAGGTTCCGCACGCTATCAATCAGAAAGATGCACTCCGTAATTCCAACTGGCACTTTGAAACATTGCATAAATTAGGGTTCAATTTATTCGGCAAAGCATGTGCTCTCTCTTCATCCTTGAAGACGATGAGGATGTTGTCTGTGAACTCACTGGCAACGGATTGGATATCCACATTTTTTAGTCAATTCAGCGCTCGGCTCCTGAGATTAAAGGTCCTTTTGATGAGAAGCATAAATAAGTCTGAGCAGATATAAACTCAGACAACACAGACATTGCTGTAGTTTCACACGCAAAATTCACTTCAATGTTGAAGTGACTTTAGCATGTAGTCTGCTGCATCGATGTCTGAAATACAATGCCCCATATTCCAAACGATCTTGTTTGTTGGACATCAGGGAGCCCTTCATTCCCCTGCTAGTTTTAGCGACACCAGGATTCTCATGGGCAGCCCGGCGAATGCAGCTGAACAGTCTGCAGAAGTTCACTGGAGGTTTTGCTCCGACCACTACTTCGGCCTTTAGAAACCTCCAGCCAACGCGCGAACACTGTTCAGTCTGACGTCGAATGATGCATCGGGTTGCATTGTGGCGACGGCCAGGACTAACCTTTTGCAGGGTTTTAACGAAAGCCACGGTCCGATCGGACTGATGCGAGTTGCTCAACTGTGCAACAAAGAATGTGACACCGGACCATTTGGTGGTCATGAGTCAGTGAAGTCCGAGTCTGCTAGGTCTGTCAGCTTTTCAGTAGCGAACGGATGTGTGTGCCTTTTGTGTAGGCTTGAGAAGCGCAGAGAAAATTATCAACGGAAAAGTGTATGATCGCATTTCACGCGGATATCTCACAGCAAGCGACAGGCATCAATCGAGCCTCGCCGGCCATAAGTGAGGACGATGTGGTTACGCAGCTGTTTCGTTTGAGGGCCTCAAGATATCAGGGCACACTTCCGGAAATAGACACTGCAAAGAAACAGCCTGTCATCGGCATGATTCCGAAGCGGTTGAACTTTGTTTCTCTCAAATATCCGCCTAACTGGGTGTCAGCAGGACTAACATTGTCGATTGAGCGGCAAACACAATGAGGACTGAGCTTATAGGCTATTTATGAGGAGCGCCCGGAGCTCCATAATAACTGCCTTTGACTGCCTCGAAGCCGTAGGCCTTCGGAAACAGGTACAATAGGGAGTGAGTGAACGGCCTCGCATTCTCAATATTCTTACTCTGGTCTTGCTAAACGATCCTCGCGGGAATGACTAGCAGCGATTAGGCAGTTGAGTGAAGAAGCCCCTGCTCGATAATTCAACATGTTATTTTTGCCGGTTTATCCATTTGTTGTGGCCTCTACGTCAGCCAATATGCGTTGTTGAAAGCAAAAAGGGAGCCAGAGAATGGTCATTTTAGTTGCGGAACTACCGAACTTGATCTTTTCCAAACAGAGAGCACGCATCAATATATAGGGACTCCAGTGTGGGTGCAAAAGCTTGTCTCCGCGTACGAATAATGAGCGAAGTAAGTAGGAAATAATCTTCTAGGCGCTCAAATTCCGTTGTGAATTTGGACGAGCCGAGCTGCAACTGGGCATAACACATGGCAAACGAAGCGGTCAGTCCTAACATGGGTCCTGTAGACAGAATATATGAACCGGGGTGAGGTATGAGTTGCGGAGGGAAAACGAAAAGTGTGCAAGAAGGCAATCAGCTGGAGCATGGGTTCTTCACTCCGTCTTTCAGCTGCTAAAATATTCGAGGAATTTTGTCAAAATTGAGTTTGTGTGAAGAGGGGAGAGAGGGAGAATATATGCCGACAGGTTGTTAAACCTAAGTAAAGGAGTTTTCAAGGACTGGTGTCGACTCACACCCATTTTGTTATTACCGACGCGCTTCTAAATTTTTAACGTGACATTAATTTGAGCGAAATTGTTGCAGTTCGTTGCTGATGCAAGTAAGATACCCTTCCTCATTTATGCTGTAGCCTTCATCACTTCTTATGTGAACCTGGTTGAACTGGTTTGCTAAGATTGTCTTGCGTGTGTTACATTTTGTAGGCTTGGGCAGTGCCTTGTTCTGCAAAATTAAAGGTGCGTCAATAAAGTACTTGTATTTTGCCCCAAAAAACATCCAACCGTTGCCATATATTCAGCAATCCCAAGTTGTTTGCACCGCCTGAATTAACGCGAGTTTGGGAACATTTTGGAAGCAAAACCTATATTAATTAGCCACGTGACGAATCGTAAGATTTGCCTTCCTTATACTATAAGACTCACCTGGACAAATTGTGGAATATTTCATAGAGAACGGGCACAGCTGACCGTAGAGCTAACTAATCGGTAGGTGACTAAGCGAAATGGAGTACAAATGTGTTGACAAACACAAGAGCAATACTGCCCCCACGAATTCCCGTTTGAGAACTTTCAGAATAAGCAATTTGCTGCCACCAAAATACAGGCGTTCTTCCGCATCA